CTGGCCTGACGAAGCGCGAGAAGCAGCAGGCGAAAGGCGAGGCGGTCGTTCGTGACGGAGGAGGGCGTCAAGGCTGAGAAGAGGAGGGATGCGAGGCTGGATCGGGTTATTGTTAATGAGAAGCGGGTTCGGAAGGTATGTCTTAATATCTATCTATTTTTAAATTTATGTTCTATTGTCATCCTCCCCACACTCCCCCCCTTTATTTTTGCTTTGCTTTGTTTACTTAGAAGAAATAATTCATTGGAACATATATATAAAATCCAAAAAAAAAAAAAAAAAAAAAAAAAAAAAGCTCAACGCTCACTGACGACATCATCAACAACAACAGAATACAAAGTATCTCGCGTCCCAGTTACCCCACCCCTTCGAATCAAGGCAGCAATACGAACGCTCGCTGCGGCTGCCCATCGGGCCCGAATGGACGACCAAGGAAACGTTCCAGAACGCCACAAAACCGCGTGTCATGCTCAAACAGGGCGTTATCAAGCCGCTGCAGAGACCTCTGCTGTGATTTTTTTTTTTTTTTGTGTGTGTGTGTATATGGGGAGGGGGAGGGGGTTGGGTTGTATTGATTGCATTGGCTGCCTTGGATCAAGTAGCTTGAAATCTCGTCCATCCTGTTTTCTTTCTTTCTTTCCTCTCTCTTGTGTGTAGTATATAGAATAGAAGTTGGTCGATATCCAATCCCAATATAGGTACACTGGTCCTTCTTTTACTATTAGTGGGTTTACTATTATTGTGTTTACATGGGCATTTAATCGGTGGATGCATGCACATAGCTCCTGTAGAGGGGGATGAGGCGCCGGAGGGAGAATCATGATCTGCTTAAAGAGTTTGGGTTCCCGATGGCCCCTTCGCCATCCCCAGCTGTTAGGCTGAATGCTGAATGTTGATTGCTAGCTCGCAGAGGCGCAATAGGCCACCCAAGAAAAAACAAAAGTTGTCCCAGGCCATTTCTTGTTCATTTGTTTTTCTTTTCATTTTTGTTTTCAGCTCGTTTACATACATACATATGTTGGCTTGGAAACAGCACCTCCCGTAGAACGGTTGGCTGTGGATCTCCGGGACGATAATCTGTGGGATTAGGTGGGGCCAGGTTAGGTGGTGGCGGGGTTTGTTAGGAGCAGTTGTCGTATGATATATGCTTCACCCTAAAACGGTCTATCCTGTTCCATTCCAAGTTTAATTGTTTGTTTTTCCCCGCTTCGAGGGTGCATAGAGGAGGGATCAGCTGGAGGGAAAGAGATACGCATGCGCAGGTCGGTCTAGAGACGGACATGTGCACCGACCGAACAATGCATTATGCGGCATTTGTAGCGATCGATGGATAGAGGGTGTGCGTGTACTGTATGAAGAATATGTGCGTCGGAGCGGCATGCAGCTGTTAACTTGCAAGTCCCAACATCGCCGCTGGCTGTGAAACCTGACCCCCCTCGTAGTCCCGTGGTTTGTGCGCGAAACACGGTCACGTGCAGCAGTTGTTGCCAGGTTGCCAGGGAAGCGCCAACCAAGATTGCTTTGAACTTGAGATGGTTCTGATGGCTCTGATGGCGCAGGGTCAGGATCCAGACAGAGTACGGATTAGAGATCTCTGCGCTAGGATCTTAACTATCTATATGCGCCTTCCCATGGCTCCGCGATCCTGCCAGGCAGACACTACGCAGGATCGAGTTTAGCTCGCCGGGGAGGTTGGGAATCAGCCAAAAGAAGACCGGTGAATCTTTCGTTTTCTCTCCCCCCTCCTCCCACATTCCCATTGTTTTGGTGTGTACGATAGATAAGCTGGCAGTGGATTGTGGACTGTGGCAAGAATGGCCTAGTTCAACCTGCCGACGCCGTCCTCCTGATCCTTCGATCCGCATGATGAACTGGTTCGCTGGGCGCAGTGTCTCCACTAGGCGCAGCACTAATGCAGCCAGAGCCGGTGCCCTTATTTCAACCTCACTCCGGCAGAATGATTATGTAGAAGCTATGGCAAGCAGAACAGTCAACAGACAGCAAAGAACAGACAGAAAGGGACAAGACGTATCCCATTGCAGATTCACTATATCTCGTGGCTCCACGGTCATGGACGAGTATATATGCAGACCGATAACCCCCCGGCTCGCCAGCTTCCTCGATCCCAACCCCACACGGATCGAACGAAAGATATCTCGGTGGAGCTTGGAATTTGGAACTTGGTGGCAAAGGTGAGCGGCGCCCTCCCCCTCCCATGGCTCCGCCTGTTTGAGCACCGTGTTTCTGCGGGTCGTTTCCATGATCGTTTGCATGGTCCCTGGTGTGGATCCGGCCCCTTTCACTTTCCTGCCCGCTGTTTTCGCCGGCCAAAGGACCTTCACCGCCGCCCAACGGCCGGCCTTGGCTCTGGCGCCACCGGGGCTCCGGA